TAATTACATTGATCATTCGGCCGCCTTACTCAAAGATAGGTTTTACAAGCATCTTGATAAATGTCAGGCGCGTGTATATCGTGAATTACAAGATGGTATCGATCAGTTAATTGGTGACTGTGAGGAACCAAAGTTGATTAACAACTTTGACGAAATTTCAACGATTATTATTGCACGGGCAGTAGCAGTTGTCTTTGTTGGCGAAGTAAGATATTATCTTTGTCATAAGTGCGGTGACATTTGTTGTATCTTATTAAATCACATATCTATCATTTTTTTAGGAATTTTGCAAGGACGAGGAAATTATCAAAATGTTTGCGACGTTTGCTAATACCCTAACACAAGTCGTAAAGCTTTCTTTAATCGCGTTCTTCATTCATCCTCGTCTCCAAACGGAATACATCAAGTATGTGATGCAATAATTGTTGGGATGTTAAGTAATTTCCATATTTATTTCTGACGGGTGATTGAATTTACATATAATGCACGATACACATTTTATTCAGATTAGTCTTTAAATATGGTACCAATTCGCCCAAAAAACATAAGGACCTTTTGATAAGGAAGTTGAAGCCTATTTTCGAGAATCGTTATCAGGACATGCAACGGTTTGGAGATGAATGGAAGCGTCCTGTAAGTCAGCCAATTGACAAATTTGTTTCCTCCCGTGATCAACGCCCGTTAATTGTACGATCTAATATTTCACAGGACGATCTAATTCAACTCCTTTTGGAACAGTCCATTAACTTGTTTGGTAAAATTCACTATGACTGCATAACATGTTATATGCTAACGCTCATATGGGCTTCGATCCATACTACCAGCATGAATCTTTTAGGCACGCTCAATGGTATGTTAGTCACGGGATGAATACTAGAAAAAGTACAGAAAAGTTGTTGACACATGATATGGTTATTCAATTAGATTACGCAGGAAGGCCCGAGTACTGGAATGATTTGAGAAAAGAACAAGAAGCCGTAGCAGGTGGTCTTGATTTCGATTTGACTATGCAGCAAATAGACCGAATGGAGAAATTAGATAGTTTTATCAAAGAGTCTAATCGTCTGATGGGGCATGCCGGTAAGTATGGCTTTTTGATAATATAGACGTCGATTGTCGTTTATTACTATTCAAATATGACTCTCTCCCTCTCAAATACCACGGATCATTTTATTCTCATCACATATAGCAATACTCCCTCATTGTGTAACGGGCCAGTCTTTTACGCTCAGTAAT